AAACAGCCCACCTCTAAGTCTACAATGATATTGTTGTGTATAGATTAGAGCCCGACCGATGTATCGTTTTGCCGATATCATCGGCCGATATGAGCCTGTCGCCGATATATCAGTATCAGCGAATATGCCGCCGATATAAACATAAACTTCAACGGAATAACGTTTAATGGAACTCATTTTGGATAATAAAGTTTATTGTTAAATTGTTAAATGCCCTGCCTCCATTACTTATCTTTGTCACTCCATTATAAGTGTTTGATCACCGCATTTGAGTGATCATTGCAAAAAATGTGTTTATGTATATACTGTATTCTATATATAGTACTAGTCAAATGTTTGGACCCTCGAATGGGAAAGTGTCCAAACTTTTGACTGGTACTGTACTATAATATATACAAAGAATATCGGCCGATACATCGATCAGCCTTTTTTTACTCCCTAATATCGGTATCGGTATCGTCCCCAAAAAACCCATATCGGTCGGGCTCTAGTATAGATATGATTTGACCCCCTCCTTCAGTGTTGTTTTGATCTGAACCGCTTGTAAATGGATGTTACAGACATTCAGTTTGAGCTACTTGCACTTCTTCTACAACCCTTTCCAGCTTATTATAATAAAGGTCGAAGTGCTAATGTGAGTCCAGGCAAGTCAAGCAGGACATTTGTCCCCATATTGATCTTCAGTATGAGCCAGAGTCAGCACACTTGCCCTGATGAATGTCAAATGAGAAAAGAGACTATAGAGGAAATGGATGCATCTGACACATCATTTAAGTTCATGGTGTTAGAAAGAATTAAAAACAATTAAGGAAGTGGTGAGTGATATAGTCCTTGTATAAATTCATACAATGCAAACTGCATGAAAATGCGATTTTTTTAAAGAATTAAGTATACACATTGTACAAATTTAAACAATTTTGTCAAAACGTAAAATAGTTACAAGACCGTGTTGCAATAGTACATGATGTGCTGTACCGTATGCCCTTACATGCCACATTGCTGGCTTTAGAAAAGATAATCAGTCTTTAGCTGCATATTGAATTGTCCACAGTCTGTGTTGTGATTATTATTGATCTGCAATCAAAATGACAAGGCAGCCATGTGTTCCTATGGAGTGTAAGTCAGCATCTGATGCTTAGCGCTAAAACACTGCAAGCCTTTTATTACTGACTCAAATAAGGAAAGTTCTGCAACCTCTCGAGTGTTCAGTTCAATCCTATTTTAGTCAGAGAGCCTCTTTCAATGGTTGCTGGTTTGAAGCACCTATAAAGAAAAGCTCTGACTCTGAAAGCCTGAGCCCATGGCAACAGTAGCTAAGAGGAAGTCCTCAAATAGAAGACAGGAAGACACCTTCAGGTGGACCTGAGAGCAGAATAAAGAACAGAACTGCTACAGATCATTATGATTTTCAGTAAAGCAATATACACCAAGGACTGAATTTGAAATCATTGATTAAATGATTAACTGTGATGAAGCCAAAAAATTAGTATGGCTCAAAATAATCAAAGGGGTAATTAAGTGTAACAAATCATGTAAAATGTAAGAAAATTAAACATTTGATCAAACTTTGATAATTGCCTTTATCTTTTCAACAAGTTGGATGTTGATAAAGGTTAAAATCACCTGTTAATTACAGAAGAACAAGAACAAATTTATACTCACGTGCATTATATATTAGGTATGTTACAGTCTCTGACAGACAGTGTGTGAAAGCTGCTCAGGTCGCCATTTTCTCCTCTCAGAAAGCAATGATGTAGTCAAAACATCTGGTTAAGTGGGGTCTTCAGGAAATGTGTGTATACTCCCTGGACCTCTGCTTCTAGTAAATACTTCCGTGTATTGTGCACGTTATATTTTGACAGACATTAATGCTGTTATATTTAAATAATGTGGATTTGAAAACAGATGGATCGCAAGGTAATTGTTATTTATTTATTAGTATTCAGTGAAGTGATTGATGTACACGAGTGTGTTATGGCAGTTTTTTTCATCTTCAAATATTACAACCGTTTTTTTGACGGATGTGATAATGTGCCTGTGGGGGGAACTGTTTGTTTTTTGAGTATTGCTACTGGAGATGTCTGAAATGCTATTTGCATAGTTCATTATTATTATTATTTTCAAAAATTAAGTTTATTTTGAAGCTTAGATATATTACATATTACTCAGAGATTGTCAAAAATGTTGCACATTTATTGACTTTTTGAAAATCAAGTTCATTTTTACCAGGAAAGGAGTGGTTTTGATGCACAAAGTTGTTTTTATTGTCTCTAATAGCAAAAAATAATTTATTTAAATCCATGAAAATGCAAATCCTGTTGTAAATAATAGTGAAAAATCACTTTAGTAAACTATTGTTCCATTATTACCCCTTAGCAGATTTTAGATAGAAACACAAGACATATTGATCCAAACTGATTTGAATAAAGAAGCTTGATTGATTTTTACCATTGTACCAATTATTTTAATGTACATTATTATATGTAAGAAATCAATTTAAATGCTAACGATCCCCCAAATCAAGTTGTTCCGCATTGAAACTTACATTTATTTTAATTTGCCTCCTCAAATATTGATTTTGCTGACTAAGTGTCCTTGAAACTTCTAGAATCATGAATCACAGTTATATGCGGGGGCCTTGGAGTCAAAAAAAGGTTGAGAACCTTAAAGAAACTTAGGTATCATTGATTCTGTGATTTCATTGTCGTAATTTGTCGTTTATGACTATTACTGACATTTTCCACTGTCAAATATGCAATTTACAACACTGCACCACAGTAAACACTGCAGAATACAATACACAGTTTGGAAAGCAGAGCAGTAATTTATTACAGTTTAATCTGAGACTGGATTCCATAGACTTGACAGTTTTAGCACTTGAGAATCAATAAAAGCTGAATATAACGTACGACAAACTAGCTCTGAAAATAGTCTAGAGTGGACTGATGTTACAAAAACCAGAGCCCAACCAACATCTTGCCTTTTTAAGAAGTGTGACTGAAATAATGTGAAAATACTGAGGTGATAATATCGGATCTGCAAGTAAGCTCTATTTGATCATGTAAAATTCTCTATACCATGTTATTGATTTCGGATGAGAGTCTGCTGATCTTTCAGATTTTTTTTTTGTTTTGTGAAAGATTAATCTGTTAACTGTGGGGAAATTCAGCAGTGTCTGTGACTTATTGAAATTGAAATATCATGCTTGCACATGTTTTCCTGAAAGAAGAACAGTTTTCCCTAAAGTTTGTTATTTTCTGTTCAACCCTGTTATGCTGTGACTATGTTTATGATATTATATTTAGAGAGTGACATAAAAGTTGTTTTGATCACATGGTTGAAATAGAAGAGAAATGCCATCATTTACTTTCAAACCTATTCTACTTTCGTGGGACATAAATATAAATATATATATTTTTTTCCAGAAATCTATCAGTGATTTCCCATACAACTCTAGCAATCAAAGCTGTTTAGTAACCAGAATTCTTCGAAATGTCTTCTTTTGTGCTCTAAAGAAAGTAAGTCACATAACGACACATGAGGGTGAGTAAATTATTATAATTTTTTGGGGTGAAGCTTTAAGTTCTTTTCAACTGTTACAAACCACATTTTACTCATAAATCCAAAAAACAGCCAATCTAAAAACCATACATTTTTGAGGGAACATATGGCGAATGCTTTTTGGGGTAACTAAATTTTGCGCGTAAGATATTATTTGGTTTGACAAATATAAGCAAACATGCGTGGTTCGCGTGAGACAAACCCCCCTTTTTTTACCATCTTGCACCAACTAATAACCAGTTTGACCCAGCTAATAACCAGCTAAAACTAGGCAATAACCTCTTTAAACAATCTAACAACCAGCATGGATCAGCAAATAAACAGCTTGGACTAGTTAATAACCAACTTTTACCAATCAATAACCAGTTTGGCCCAGCTAATAACCAGTACTAGCTAAAAATAAGTTAATTACCAGCTTAAACAACCAGCATGGATCAGCAAATTACATGTTGGACTAGTTAATAACCAATTTGCACCAACTAATAGCTAACGACCAGCTTAAACAATCTAAAAACCAGCATGGATCAGCAAATGACCAGTTGGACAAGTTAATGACCAACTTACACCAAATAATATCCAGTTTGGCCCAGCTAATAATCAGCTTAAACTAGCTACTGATGAGCTTAAACAATCTTACAGTTAGCATGGATCAGCAAATACCCAGCTTGGACTAGTTAATAACCAACTTGCACCAATCAATAACCAGTATGGCCCAGCTAATAACCAGTACTAGCTAAAAATAAGTTAATTACCAGCTTAAACAACCAGCATGGATCAGCAAATTACATGTTGGACTAGTCAATAACCAATTTGCACCAACTAATAGCTAACGACCAGCTTAAACAATCTAAAAACCAGCATGGATCAGCAAATGACCAGTTGGACAAGTTAATGACCAACTTACACCAAATAATATCCAGTTTGGCCCATCTAATAATCAGCTTAAACTAGCTACTGACCAGCTTAAACAATCTTACAGTTAGCATGGATCAGCAAATACCCAGCTTGGACTAGTTAATAACCAACTTGCACCAATCAATAACCAGTTTGGCCCAGCAAATAACCAGTAGTAGCTAAAGATAAGTTAATTACAAGCTTAATCTAACAACCAGCATGGATCATCAAATGACATGCTGGACTAGTTAATAACCAATTTGCACCAACTAATAACCAGTTTGGCCCAGCTAATAATCAGCTTAAACAATCTCTTGACCAGCCTGGATCAGCAAATTACCAACTTGAACCAGTTAATAACCACCTTGCACCAACTAATGAGCAGTTTAGACCAGCTACTACTGTGAACATGGTAAATAAATAAATAAATAAGATGGATAGATGCCACTGGCTTTAGAAACGACAAAATATAATTGATGTGCTTCTTCCAATAGATTTTCTGAGCAGACACTGCCCTTATAGTTCAGTCAGTGTTAACTCAGCAGACAAGAGTCCAGTCAAAGCCAAGGAGCTTTCCATAAAGCTGCTGCCTGTTTGCAGAAAAATGACCTTCAGCAATTAAAATCTGTTTCCTGGACACGTGTTTTCTTCTCACAGGTATGGCTCCTTGCATTTCTCTCAAGACTGAACATTCAACAGATCTTTTTATGTAGAGCATCAATTGCCTCAGGAATAAAGATACAAGCACCAACGAGTTTCTATCACCATGAGACAGCATTTTGGGCTGGTCTGACAGATGGCTCTGACATACAGGAAATTACTCTGATGGCCGTTTTTCAAAGCATTCATTAAATACACATTTAGTGCCAACTAACTAATTGCCTGATGTCTGTCATATAATGAACAGGTGATTATGTTTAACAGGTGCAGTGAGAAGGCATTCATAAAGCTACAGACAGCTACAACCCCCTCTCTCTCTCCTATTTTGGTCTGCAGTATTTTATTGTTCACTATAAAAGTGCTCTTTCTTTTGTGGGTTGCTGCATGCTGAAAGGGATTTATTTTAAGTCAAGACAGACGTTTGTTTGGGACATTTTGGGTGTCTTATCTTGACCGTGTTCTTCTGAGGGCCAAGCCATTTGTCACTGAACCAAAGACTTTTTTTCTCTCTTTTTTGTAGAAATCAATATCTTTTGGTATTTATTCTGCCTGAGAGACCTACGTGTTTGTGGACTATGTTCAGAGTAGTATTCTAGCATACTATCTATACTACTTCACAAGATATAGTTGCAAGCATTTTATACCAATTTCATTTTTTTTTACTTTTTAAAATTGTATAATTTTATTTTAAAACAAGTGTGTATATATATATATATAATTTATTCATTCATTTATTTATTTTAATCATAAGAGTCATTTATTTGGCAATCTGACTGCTGAACACATTTTATATTTTTATATTTTGATTCACTAAAAGAAAAATGGTTTAGAGTAATTCGTTCAGGAATTGAACCACACTGGCCATGCTGTATGTTTTGGATTAATTTAAAAGAACCTGCTCAAGAGTCATTTGTTCATAATCAGACTACACTGTGCTTTTGTTTCATTTATAACAACCGACTCTTTAGAACCAATTGTTCAGGAGTAGACTGGCTGAACTGTTTGTTTTTAATTCACCTGAAAGAACCGACTCATTAGAGTCATTCATTCACAAATCGGACTGTATTATTCACATTGTGTGTGTTTTTTTTATTTACTCAAAAGATCTGGCTTAAAGAGACTTTTATTTTATTTTTACATTATATATAATTAAAAGTACAAAATATCTACATTTATTTCCAAAATTATACTAAATGCCTTTCAAACATACAAAAGCATTTAGCATACTTTTGACATGCTTACAGTATTGTTGCATATTAGTACCATGTCACATACAATTGTTTTTTTAATATTAGGCATTATACAGTATATTCTGTCCTGTATGTCAGACACAGTCGTGTAATGTGAGGTAATTGTTTCAGTTTGTGTAAATGGTTTTCTCTGGCCTAGGACTCTCAGGCCTGTCTATTTATGCCAGGTCTCTGATGTATCTAGACACTCACGTCCAATAAACCAAACCAGACTTGAGTTTCATTTCATTTAGAGCTATTCTGGGTGACAAGCTCTCAGTCTGGTTTAACGAAAATGTCCTTCTGCTCGGAGGAGCACACACTGCCGGTGACAAATAAGAGCCTTTACTTGTTGCTGTCTATGCGAATGAATGATTGATACTTTTAAGACCAGGTTTAACACGTTTTGTTGTTGAGAAGTATGCTGTTATGTTCTGTTTTGCATTAATGGCATAAAGATATAAATCCAATCCAATAATTGGTCCTGATGTTTTAAATAGTACTAAACAATGAAAAACACAAAACGTGTATTTTATAAGCATTATGTTTTTTTGGCTCATAATGGGCATTTGTTCAAGAATTGGAGTGTACATGTTGATTGTTTTGATTTAATTTAGTTCAATTCAATTTTTATTTAGTTTGTTTGGAACAGTGTTTATTTTGACAGGCATTTTTGATTTAGTCTTAATCTTTATCGAGACGAAAATGCTTAATAGTCTTAGTCACATTTTAGTAATTTGAGTCTTTCGTAGTTTTAGTCGACGAAAAGTCATTGCATTTTTGTCAACTTTTAATCATTACTTTTAGTCAAACTGCAGTTTCCAACATTTATTTTGGTAGCTATATGTAGTCTTCAAACAAAAATAGTCATTAATTCTTCTCTCTTTAAACTAAATAAATTAGCCTAAGCTTATGATAAATTTGAATCAAGGATTGAATTTGGAAAAACTTGAATAAATGATGACAATGTTCATTTTGGGGTGAGCTATCCCTTTAACATTAGTGAAAAGGGACGGAGCAACTTATAAAAATTATAGTTGTTCATATATAATATATATGATTTATAATTTTTGAAAAAGAAGCAGAATAAGACAATAAGACAAATACGAAAGAGATACAAATTAAATAATTTTTTTCAGATACAGTAGGTTTACTTAACATATTTAACATCTTTTGTTGGTTAACATTAATGACACAGATAGGTATTTAATTAGGAATGCTGTCCCTTTAAGACTGAAGGCATGCATGCAATACTGACACACGTTCAGTTTTCACCCACCTGTTTACGTTCACTTAATCCATAACCGACTGTATTTACGTGAGATACTCTACACAAGGGGTGTCCAAACTCAGTCCTGGAGGGCCGGTGTCCGGCAGAGTTTAGCTCCAACCCTAATTAAACACACCTGAACCAGCTAATCAAGCTCTTACTAGGCATAGAAACTTCCAGTCAGGTGTGTTGAGGCAAGTTGGAGCTAAACTCTGCAGGACATTGGCCCTCCAGGACCGAGTTTGGACAGCCCTGCTCTACACGATAAACATTTGGACTGCTGTGAGTGTATTTGAGCACTGAGAACTGATCGCGCACTGTATATGAGAACTGAAGAAGTGGAGCGTGCGCGAGAGAGAGCACTTCTATCAGCGCGATTCCACCTTCACTAACTTTAAGTTAATCGACAACGAATTGTGACTCCTGGGAAAAATGGGACGTCTGGTCACCTTATCCCTACCCCTTCGGTGCTGAGGCCATTGTTTCAGATCGCTAGTTCGCATTTTGGTAGCCTATCCATCCACTGCAGCTGCCATACTGAGACTAGATATGCAAACGCCCCTTATCCGATTGCAATCCAATGACAGGGACACACATTTTGAAGGACAAGACAGTAGCCTATAGGATGTATTTTGAATGTCTGGTAGTTCTCAAATAACATTATCCCATCTCGTCTTGTTAACAAGACGCGGCATAAATTTCGTCACAGTTTTTATCATCAGATATTAGTTTTAGCTCGTCAACGTCTAGTATTAGACACAGCAAAAATGTTTGTTAACGAATATTTTTCGTCGTCGTCTTCGTTGACGAAATTAACATTGGTTTGGAAATCAGACCACTGGATCCACTGTATGTTTTGATTCACTAAAAAGAACTGGTTCAGAGTCATGTTTAGGGAATCAGACTGTTCTGACCGTGCTGTATAGTTTTGACTCGCTTAAAAAAAACTATAACAGAGTAGAACATAAGAGTAATTTGTTCAAGAATTAGACTATATTTTGCCGGTTGAATGTTGTTGTTTCATTTAAAACAACCATCTCTGTTTGTTTATGATTCACCTGAAAGAACTGGTTCAAAAGACTTATTGGTTCGCTTTGTAAGCTTTTGATTCACTACAAAGAACAGTCTCAAAGAGTCATACATTCAGAAATCAGACTCCACTGGATGCACTGTGTGTTTTTGATGAGTAATTTGTTCTGAAATCTGACTATTTAACACACTGTATGTTTTGATTCACCATTCAATTGTTTTTTTTTTAGACCTGGTTCAGAATCATTTGTTTGAGAATCAAACCATACTTATGCTATATGTTTTGAATTCACCTGTAAGAACTGGTTAATAAGAGTAATTTGTTCAAGAAACTCACTACATTGTGTGCGTTTAATTATTATAATTTTTTTTTTCATTTAAAACAATTGACTCATTAGGACTATTTGTTTGGTAAAACGATTGGACTGGCTTCACTGTTTGTTCTTATAAGATTCATTTGTGCAGACATTTGACTTCCAGATTGCACTGTATGTTTTGATTCACTAAAAAGAACTGGTTTCATTTAATTCATTCAGGAATCAGACCACACTGTAACCACACCTTTTGTGCTCAAATCTTACTACTGGACTCACTGTATGTTTTGATTCACTTTAAAGAGCTGGTTCATAAGAGTCATTTGTTTAAGAATCAAGTACACTGTGCACATGGAACTGAATAGGCCAGGTACTTAGTTTGTTTTATTATTCATCTGCAAGAACTGGTTCAGAAGAGTCATACATTTGGGAATCAGACTACACTGGTTATATGTTATGAATCACTAAAAATAACAGGCCCATGGATGCACTGTGTCTTTTGATTCACTAAAAAGAACTGGTTCAGAATCATTAGTTCGGGAATCAGACTGTTCTGACCGTGCTGCATGTTTTTGATTCTCTTAAAAGAGCCTGCTCATAAAAATAATTTGTTTGTGAATCTTACTTCAAATGCTTTTGATTCAGTAAAAAAACCAAATTGCAAGCCTAAATGTTTTCTCTTGCTGTGATCCTGTAGTTTAGCGAGGAGTACCTGAGGAAGATGCCGAGGGGTGGATGGCCACGGGTGATTGTGGTTGCTGATGGTTCGTGTGGAGACTCCTGCTCGGTTCTGGGCATCAGCGCTGATTACATCGTAGAATCATGTCGCGCTTACGGCGCCAATGCTACTATAGAAAGACTGGACCAGAGACAGGTGAGATGCTTATATGCAAGTCTTTCAGAAAGCCCATGAAATCAAATTTGGGGTTTCGTTGCTTTTAGTACATGTCTATTAATAGCTTGACAAGTTGATAAATGTGCACTTAAGTGGATTTTTATTAATATATTATCTGCAAGTACATTTAAAAAAAAAATACTTTTAACATTTGAAACACTTCAAGTGTACATTCAATACAATTAAGCACACGTCTTTTTCATTGTTTTTTAAATAAAAATCAGTATAATAATTTAATTGATTTTAGGTGTTACTTAATGTTAAATATTGATTAATAATGATGATAAAATCCAAAGTGAATACAGGTAGTTGTTAACTTAATAAGCTAAAATTACTCTAAAATCAAATGTAAAAGGTTTAGTTGTGTAACCTCAGCATACATCCAAATACATGTAACAATGTTTGCCATTAATTAAACTATTGAAATTAGATGCTTTCACACAAAGTACATTTTAATGTGATTTAAAAACAAATAGGGGCCATTCACACAGAATGCATTTTTTTCATTTCTTTACTTTTCCATTGTTTTTCTATGTAAACGGACATGCTAGACTATGTGTATGACCGCCGTACTCATGCCTTGCCTCTTTTGCAGCGTCTCGCAGATGAGTGCCATGTTTTTAAGACAAGTTAAAAGAATTTCAACTCTTACATGCAGTTACATCAATGTCAGTTCCAAAACAGTGGACCAATCAGAAGATCCCGGAGGCGGGGCAAGCATTGCAAGCTTTTGTTTACAGTAGCAAATTGGCATGGCAAGTGTTTTATTTGATGCCAACATGCTGAACGGTGCTTTTTAAAACCATTTTAGATGCAGAGACACGTTCTATGTGAACGGCCCTTTACAGTGCATATAAATTTTTCTTTCTTTCTCCTTGAATCATTATACCGTATCACACCATTACATCTCAGTAGCAACCGTTTTTTCCTCTTCCCATGCTATTATTCTCAGAAATTTCTCATTTGAGTTCTTGAATATGAATCGAGTGTTAGTCTGAGCGCTCTGTGGTCATGAGGTCATCAGGGTCCTACTGGGCTGATTCATTTTATGAATATGGCTGAGGAAATTAAGCCATTATGAATAATAATAGAGTCTATTTCTGCCAGCAATAAACACTGATGATGCAGGTGAGGTGGAGAGAAGCTGCAGCCTCCACCATTAGCACATGTTATGAGGAACAGATTCTGTCTGTAATTTGATTGTTTTTACACAGGTTTAGAATGACAGTTTGTATAATTGATTTTTCTCAATGTCTTTAGTTAATGGGCTTTTTGTTTGAACAGATGGTATAGTGGGTTTAGCTAACGCAGATAACCAAGGTCAGCTAGCGTCCCCCGGCAGGCTGTGTTAGTCTCTGTTATGTATACAGTAATTCATCAAACAAGCTTTAGCAACCTTGATAAGGTTCAGAGATAAGCAGGGTTTCAGTCTAATTAGTGCAACTGAAACCTGGCTCTGAATATTGAGGATTCATGACTATCAGTACCAGTTGTTACCATTATTCACGCTCTCTGTGAGCCTTAAAGGGACGTTCACCCAAAAATTTAAATTTTTAAACTTTTACTCAACACAAAAGATATTCTGAAGAATGATCCAACCAAGCAGTTTCGTCAATGTCAATGTCAATGGGAACCAGAACCAACATTCTTCAAAATATCTTATCATATCTAATCACATCCAATCATTTTTGAGATTGCTCATAACTTTTGGAGAGAAATAGCGCAGAGACTGGACAAAGATTACATTTTCTAGTGCGCATGTGCTTTCAAATTAAATATACTTTAATGTGGCTCTGCGAGTGTGGCTTGTGCAGGTAAACTTGCACGATGCAGAAGAGCAATGAGAATGTCATCTGTCTGGGCAGACCCCACGCAGAGACTGCTCTCTCACTGAGACGGAATGCTCACTCGAGCATGAGTCTCGCTCTTCTCCACTCGTGGACCGCCTTCACTTGGCCCAACCTCCTTCTCTATGCTTTCCCCAGATCGCTCTGATCCCACAGGTAATCACCCTTTGGATGAACCAGCTGTGGCTATCAGAGCTGACTCAGCTACTGATAGCAGCCTCTTGGCCTGTTCCACTGAGACAGGATCTCCTCTCTCAAGCGAACGGGACATTATGGCATCCTCGGCCCGACCTATGGGCCCTGCACCTCTGGCCATTCGACGGGAGCCTTCGTGCCTCCCAGAGTGAGTCTTAAACACAATTTCGGAGGCTAGAGCTCCATCTACGAGATGCCTCTATGCCTTAAAGTGGTCTTTTTTCTCCACCTGGTGTCTAAAACACGGCAAAGACCCTCTCACTTCCGAATTGGCAGAGGTGCTGTCATTTCTACAAGAGCTGCTGGATAAGGGTCGTTACCCATCCACGCTCAAAGTCTATGTGGCGGCTATAGCGGCCTCTCATGTCCCTATTGAGGGTCAATTGGTGGGCAGAAATAGCGTGGTCATCCTGAGGGGTGCAAGGAGGCTGAATCCGCCTCGTCTCCCTACCGTCCATTCATGGGACCTGCCCACTGTGCTGAAGGGCCCCACTTTTGAGTTGCTACAGTCCGCCAACATTAGGTCGCTATCGCTGAAGACTGCTCTGCTTCTAGCACTGGCATCAATAAAGCGAATAAGGGACCTGCAGGCGCTCTCTATTAGCCCTGCCTGCCTGGAATTCCGGCCTAACGACTCTAAAGTCGTCCTGAAACCGAGGCACGGTTATGTACCTAAAGTGCTTTCCACTCCGTTCAGAGCACAGGTCATTACGCTCTCCGCGCTTCCTCCAACTGAAGAGGCCAAAGAGCTATCTATGGTCTGCCCCGTCAGAGCGTTGAGAATCTATATTGAGCGTTCCTCTCTCTATAGGCGATCGGAACAACTCTTTGTCAGCTTCGGTAACCACACCAAAGGGTTTCCGGTTACGAAGCAAAGACTCTCTAGATGGATAGTAGACGCCATCTCGCTAGCGTACTCTTCCTTGGGCCTCCTCGACTAGAGGCATCGCCTCGTTGTGGGCATGGTCCAGTGGTGTGTCCATTGTGGATATTTGTTAGGTGGCCGGCTGGGCCTCGCCATCCACATTTGCGAAGTTTTATAACCTGGAAGTCCCGGCCTTACAGGCCAGGGTCCTTTCTGCTTGAAATAGGCACGCGTTGCGTAAACGGATATGGCAGAGAGCCCTTGGCCGGTACCATGCCCAAGTTCTCTGGCATTGTTCACCTGTTAGCTCTCGGCCCCTGGGTGTCGAAGTTACAGGGATACTCTGGAACGATTAACCAGGCCGGGTGTGACCTAGAAAGCTCAGCCCATCTTAGCCTTGGGTTATTGTTGACTTCTCTATAAGCATTAGTTGCTTATGGAAGTTATACCTTAAGTCGTTCCACTCCATTAGCACGGCATGATTGGACTGTTCCCATATGCGTCTTAAGCAAGACGCAGTACGAGTGAAGTATCGAAAGGGAACGTACTCGGTTACTAACGTTACCTCGGTTTCCTGAGATACGGGAACGAGTACTGCATTGCTTGCCGTGCTATGTAGCTGCACGACTCAGTCGTCGCTTAAATCGAAGTAAACCTGAGAATCCTGTGTTTTTTTCCCATATGCGTCTTAAGCAAGATGCAGTACTCATTCCCATATCTCAGGGAACCGAGGTTACGTTAGTAACCGATTACGTTTTGTTTTAGTGTTGGAAAAAAATAAAAACTTGAAACAATGTTTAATGCTAAATGGTTGGAAAAAGGTTAGTGAAATACTTATAAAGCAACCATGAAATTTAAACAAGAGCTGTTGAAAAGTCAACTAATGTTGCAAAACCTACAACCTTGATCTATGATGTTGATTTAAATGCTGAAATGGTGGGTGGGATTTTTGCCACTGTACCTTTAAGAAATTTCTTCTTCACATGTGAAATGAGAAACTTTTAATCACAAACTAAGTTCAAAACAAGTCAATTAATACAGCAGTCTGAATACTTCATACAATGCACATTTTCATTGATTTCATTAAAATTACAGACAAATTTCAAAATAAAAGCCCATTGCTTCCATTTAGGAATATGCAGTAGTCAGTGTATGTCTGTTCAAACAGGAGACAAATGAGAAATCCTTAAAGGCCAGAACATGACCTGGCTGGATTGTACTGTACTGATGCTTCTGCCACGATTATTGAATTGTTTCAGAAAATAGTGCCTGCTGGGTGATTTTGCCCCCCATTAGAAATCTCTTTAGTCCAATGAAATTTCCTGTCCTCATTTAATCAGAATAAAAGATCACCAATTTGGCCCCAGATGGGGAATAGAAGAGGCAATTCAGCTTGTTCTCTGCAGTAATTAATTTGTGAATCATAGTTAAATGGACATGCAACAAATATTTAAATATGTTGAGGATGACTTATGAACAAGTTAATAAATGTAAATATAATCAATAATAAAAATATATAACATTATAATAAAATATTATAGTAAAATATGAAATCATAGCAATAAGTGTAGTAATAAAATATAAAATAAATATGATATAAATATCATTAAGATGTTGGTCCAGGTGTAGTGAAAGATTATACTAAGAAAATAATGGTCAGTTTCTGTTTTCTAGGTTCCCACACCTGAGATCCGTGCACATAGTTTGTATTTTGATCTGTCGGCATACGGGATCGACACTGTGAGGGAATCACGCCGCTCCTCGCAGCCGGCAGCGAAGCCTGGATTCCATCTGAAGATCTACGGAACGTTCCGGAACCGCTACATGGCTCTGGCCTGCACTTCGGACGCAGACTCCAAAATGATGCATTTCCTGCGCCACACGGCCAACTCTTCAGTAAGACGTCTCAATCCCAGCATGCATCTGTTAGACTCATGAACTCAGTCGAATTTAAAGTTTATGCACTCATCCAAAATGCTGTTCTTCTCACCTTCTCCAGTCAGCGCATAACCGATTTTCAACATAGTAGTTGAAATAATGTCAGTTGGTGTTGCTAAATGTTAAATAGTTGTAAAAAGGTTAACAAAAGGTTTTCATATTTACAATACAAAGAATTTGCCACTGATGATTCAAACGCGAGTTTTGGCACAATATGGTAGGGGCGTAACATTTCCATCACACGCTTGAGGTATTCGGCCAATCACAACGTACTGGATAGCTGGCCAATCACAGCACACCTTGCTTTTCAGACCGATGCGCTTTGTAAAAATCTACGTGTTTCAGAAAGGCGGGGCATAGAGGAGAAACAATAATGTACAGTATGTGGAAAATAATGTGTTTTTTGAAACTTAAACCGCATAAACATTTCATTACACCAAATACACAAAATAATGTTCTTTTTAGCAACATCATATGACCCCTTTAACTTTTTCCCCGCCATTGACGAGTTATCTCGTCTTTTAGAAGACAACGCTTCCCTGCCAAAGACGAGTTTTTACGGCTTTTCGTGTTTTCCCTGTTATACACTAGGGGGCGCTATTACACATCTTCTAAATGAGTACAAAACCTCCCGAACAAAAACATACGTGAACAGGATGGAGAAACGAGCGATCTCTTATGTAAACAAATGCATATGAAAAATAATGCGATCATCAGCAATGGCAGCATATAAATGAAAACTGCATAATGTTACGGAGTAAAATGTTGATCCAGGAAGTGGTATATGGCTGTGCAAGCTTTGGAGGTGTTGATGGAAGCGATTTACTGGATTTATGCTTTGATAATCATACTGAATATTACCCAGATGTAGTTTTTGATAAAAATGTGATTTTCTCACCTTTTTGCTCAAAATTATGCATTTTTATGAAACCTACCTATATTCAAAGTGTTGATCAAAAAAAGAATGCTTTAAGCTAGAATAAAACCAATATTTTATGAGGTGATTTTGTAGGATGTGATTCGCATAGAAATGCATTTATTTTGGAGAAAAAAAAAATAACATGAATGTCCACCCCTAAACATAGTCTAAGCAAATCATAAACAAATCATGTTCAAAAAAGATTCATACGAATTAGCCACCAATTCACTGAAATGTAAAATAGTTAGGAATTGCAAAATTGGAAACTTCAAAGAATCTTCAAACTGCTCTTTTCCACAAAATGAAAGCATTTATTTAACAGTAGGGCTGGAAAATAAACAATATCATATCAAGATTGCAATAAAATTTATGTCGATAACGATAATAAGCTCTGGATATTTTTTACTTGATGTGGGTTCTAACAACTGATCACACAGCAGATATAAACGTGATGTTTGTGGTGTTTTCAGTGTCTGCGTCTCAATATATGAGGACATGAACTTCATCTCCAGAGCTGCTCTGAGAGTCACTTCACCAGCTTTACACCATTTCAATTGATCTGACCAAATAAAAGTTTGGTTTAACTTTAAGAAATTATGACAGAAATATATTATTATTGTTTACTATAATGTGTTTATCAAAGTTATAATAATTGTATTATTTTAAAGGAACTTGATGCAACAAAGAAAATATAAGAAAATATTTTTCATACATGTTTTAATTTATACAGTTCTGTTGTGCAACGTCTTATTTGATTATATTTTTATTTGATTATATTTGAAAAGATAAATTAAATTGTTCATTGTGTTAAATTATAAAACACATAATCCAGGAAAAAGAGGAAAACACAGAATGTATGGGAAATTAAAATGGATTTCATGGTGCCTAAATCAAAAAGTAGGTAGTTAAATTGAGAACAAACAATTTGAAATAGCTATGTTTCCATTCAAAGATGTGAATTTAACTTGCGCGCAAAACTGGAATATCGCATAAAACACTTGCGAATAAATCGCCGTTTCCATCCAACGAGTCAAAGAGAACAAACTCGTCACTTCCTGATAAACTGGCACTAAATATCACTAAGAAAACTAGGAGAAGCCACTGAATATAATATTTTTTATATATAATAAATGACTTGCGCCTCAAAGCGAGCAGACGAAACACAATGAATGCGGTCATCGCTTTCAGAGGTGGATGCTGCTGTTTGGGAACGCAGTCATGCAGTGCCTAAATCAAAAAGTAGGTAGTTAAATTGAGAACAAACAATTTGAAATAGCTATGTTTCCATTCAAAGATGTGAATTTAACTTGTGCGCAAAACTGGAATATCGCATAAAACACTTGCGAATAAATCGCCGTTTCCATCCAACGAGTCAAAGAGAACAAACTCGTCACTTCCTGATAAACTGGCACTAAATATCACTAAGAAAACTAGGAGAAGCCACTGAATATAATAATTTTTATATAATAAATGAATGCGGTCATCGCTTTCAGAGGTGGATGCTGCTGTTTGGGAACGCAGTCATGCAAGACAATTATACAGAAATACTTTGACAACAGACTTTGCTCAGGCATTTCAGAACGACCAAAACAACATATAGATGCTGTGAAGGAGATCGGTCCGCTGGTTAGACAAGTTATCCCATCCCATCATGCAAAGTCACATGACTTTTTCAATGCACATGGAGGAATTTATTCGGTAAATGTGTTTCCATCGTAGTTTATGCAAATTGTTTCTTATTGGATAAAAAGTTTATCCTACTCAATTGTGCGAATACGTTTTTTATATGCATTTTTAGAATTTATGCGCATCTTGGCGTTTCCATCTAGCTCTTTTTATGCCATAATCCAAAATGCGCATAAAAATAGGTGGATGGAAACGTAGCTAATTGCATTCATTCTCAAGGTCTAACAAACAAACAAACATGCGGAAAGCATTTCCCTCACCATTAATGGTAAATTAATATTGTGATAAATATCAATATTGTATGTTATGGAAAAAAAAAAAAGTTATATTTTTAGCCATATCGCCCAGCCCTATTTCACATCTCTATAGAATATTTGATTCTGATTGGTCAGTCGTGGCATACAGTATAATAACCCCTAAACCCTACAAACAATCAAACAAACATAAATACGAATAAACAACATCTAGATAGTGCAGTTCCAAAATTTACCAGCAGGGGCAAACAGGGCTAACTAGCCAAAAGACAACTCTGACTCTGTTTTTGCCTTACTTGGAGAGTTTGATTAATGAATAAATAGAATGTAGAAGCAGACAAGAAAAGAGGAACAATAGCACAGAAATATGCAGTTGAGTGGTTGAAAAAGGAAACAAAGAGCTAAAGAAAGAAACAGTGACAAAGAGATAAAAAAAAAGAAACGGACAGGATATATCAAGTGTAGCGTTAGTTCTGGCAGGTCACGTTAGTCAAGCTCGCATCAGCTGACTCTCAGCTGATCCCCATCAACCTATGGGAATACAACACCTATCTAAGCATTCATATATAAGGTCCCTCAGTATTATCAGCAGTTTTCGCATTGCTCAATAGCTAATTACCCTCCTCCATCCCCAGCTCCTCCTCTGTCAGTCAGGATTCAACCTTCTGATTCTCCTTTGAAGCAGATTAATTCTAAAATGGGTACATAACATTATTGAACTTTAACGATATCTGCAATACATTTATGTTGGTTCGGTTCTGTTTAGCCTGGGGGGTTATCGCTGCTCTCCCTGCTCTCATCAATGCTCGGCTGCATGGATGCGCAGGGAGTTCTTGCCCAGAACAGAACCATACCGCCAATCCAAACTGTATGCTAATTGTCAATCATCTTTGACGATAGTGGTCCTGACAGAAATCAAGACACAGCCGTCACAGGAAATGTCATTCACTGAGACACATGCTGTTACCTGGTTACAGTCACTATATGTGTGTGGGTGTGATGTGCTTGTAAAGACCCCCGATGAGCATGCAGAGCTGGAGACTGAACGAATCACTTTCCTCTCTGTTGACTCAGATCATGAAGAACATCTTCCACCAGTCGTTTAACGCGTATAAGACAGACATCGAGCCGCGTCTGCGTGAACTCACGCTGCACCACATGCAGTGCAGCCGCAAGCTGTTCGAGATCATGCTGTCCTACAGACGCGTCAGCGCCGCTTACATCGAAGGAGACAACGTCGCCGTGACTGTGGAAGGAGAAGCTGCGCGAGTGCTCAACTTTGACACTGGTGAGCACAGCCACGCTTCAACATCATCTGGATGCTTCTAGGCCAAATACAGAGTTACGCTTCTTTCACGGTTTTCCATTCCATTGCATTGCGTTTTCTATGTAAACATGCACTAGATGGACATGTTTGACTGTTGCGTTCACGTCTTGTGTCTGTTGCAGCATCTCAGGCATGATGCACCATTCTAAAAACACGGCGTTTAGGTTGAAAGAAGTTCAACTTAAAAAAAACCTCTTCTACTGCCCTGTGCCTCACATTTTTTAACCTTCTATCAGAATGTCCCCTTATACTTGTGGTTATGGATATTCATATTTAAAACTGTTCATATATTTACTGCTACAAATTTAGATGAAATAAACCTATATATTTAGGGTGTTATAAAACCAAAAATTTGTAATGCAAAATAAATAAATAAATAAATAAAGCCAAATTCCACGTATAAAAAGGAACTGTACCTAAATTTTGCCTTTGTTAAAATTCAAATAATTTATAATTTAAATAATTTAATTGCAGATTTGTTAATTTCCCCCTGCACTTTCTGTTCAACCCTGTTATGCTGTGACATTTCCCTCTTAAAACATATATTTATAATAATATTTTTTATATAATAATAGTAATCAATTTTATTTAGTAAAAATTAATTTACAGTCTTTATTAGGATTTTATTTTTGGCTTTGACAAGTTTAATAGTTCCACTCTGTTTTGGGGGAATTTTTATTTTTTTAATTAATTAATTAATTATGTAATATTGTTTTTGGCACAAAGCACCAGAATGTTGACTAATATTTATAAAAATGTAATAATAATAATAATATATTTTATTTAGTAATTTTAGTTTAATTTTCAGTCTTTATCAATATTTTATTTTTATCTGTATGTTACTTTTTTATAAGTATGTAGTATGTATGTTCTTAACACAAAAGCACAGGAATATTGATGTGTACAATGTGTTTATGTGATTTATTACAAGGCACATTGAAACTGGGTGATACTGTGAAAGAGTACTGTGAGTAAAATAGAATAAAATAAATACAATAAAACAAAACAAAAATAATAAATTGAATGAGAATGACCTGTATATACTTTCTGTAGCACTGTATGGCTGCTAACAACAATTTCCATGAAGCCAAAAATATTTGAATCAGAATCATTACAAGTAACATTCGCTTTCAGATCATAACCAATTGTATTGCACACTATTTGTCTGTAATCTCTGATATGGTTCTGTGGAAGGTTGTGGTGTGAATCTGGGCATGAGAGGACTGGAGTCTCTGGGAATGTTCATCTACAGAACGGCCACGGCGCTGGACCAGAACGACGTGTTTGAGGCGCTCTCGGCCAAAATCCAGCACTCCAGACACGTGGCAGAGACTTTCAGGAAGAGCGGACTGGCCTCGGCAGTGTTTGAATGACCCTGAGCGTGAGTGTTTTGAGGGGAGTTATAAACTTACAACTAGAGCCTGACCGATATTAGGGAGTAAAAAAAGGCAGATATTGATATATCGGCCGATATTCTTTTTGTATATTATAGTACAGTAGTCAAAAGTTTGGACACTTTCCCATTCGAGGATCCAAACATTTGACTGGTACTATATATAGAATACAGTATATACATAAACAGAATATATATACATAAACACATTTTTTGCAATGATCACTCAAATTTGGTGTGGATTCGCCGCAGTGGAGATATGGCCGTTCAAAGTTTCAATGGTTTTCCATTGACTTAAGCTTCAAAAACGTTTCATCCAAGTCGCCAGTAGCAAACAATGGAGCGCGCTCTGCTGGACAAACTAAGTAATTACACCATTTCAAGCATTTTATCTGCGTTATATGCTCTGTAAAAAAAAATTCATATCGGCGGCATATTCTCCGATACCGATATATTGGCGACAGGCTCATATCGTCCGATAATATCGGCAAAACGATATATCAGTCAGGCTCTACTTACAACACAAATTGATCTATTTTGTGATCGTTTTTGGAATGTTGAATATTCAATGCACATTGGAGTGACCAAAGTTTGTGTATTAGCATTTCATTTGTGAAAACAATTAGGTAATTATTGGTGTAATGTGATGATAAATAGTGCATTGTGTTTTTGAGTAGATCTTGTCAAAAACAAGAACCGGAGACCGATCCAGCCTAAAATGGCCACAAACCTTACTGAAGATACAGTGACCATAAAAAAAAGATACGTGGAGTCTTATAAAAATATAAAAGCCACTGCATTAGATAATAAAATATCAAAGCAAGTGTCCTAATTAGTGCAGTGTTAGTCACCAACAGACTCTACTGCTACAGGACGAACAAGTCAGACTATGATGTTGACTATTCACTATGAAATGAATACTAGCAAAAATGAATAGGTCCCAGCAATAGTTTAGTGTGAATCACTAACAGACAGCATCATCAGATCTGTAGAAATTAAGTGCCTGGCAGAAATCACATTCAGTTCATGTTACATACAGAAATAAAGATGTCTATTTATTTTGTGATATTTGTTAATAAAATGAAGTGTTTGCCTTCTGTTGTCTTCTCATTCTGTGCATTCTTGCTTATTCAAGTATATACTTGTGATCTAAAGCTAGGGCTGGGTGATATAGCTAAAAAAAATTATCAACGATATAATGTTTCATATCGTTCGGTATCGATAATTATTGAAATTTTTTATAACCTTTTTTTTAAAAAGAGCAATAGAAAATTTTTTTAATTTAACCACTGTATTTTTAAATTAGCCCAATTTATTGAGACAAACGACAAATATTTTTTTGTTTTAACAGTCAAACACACAATAAAAATTAAACAAATGTCTAATTTCTAATATTTTATATGCAGATTAAATAGGTTTTAAGGAAACTTTTGGCTTGTCTCCCGAGGCCACAGGAGGGCGCAATGAGCAAAATAATGCAGCACATATTGTCAACGCATGGAAATATCTGTCTATAAAAAAAACATGCATTATGTCTAAATTAACTCATATAAATCAAATATAATTTCATAAATTGCATAAAAAATTATGAACAAAACAGCATCATTGCTTAATCCAAAGAGCCGAAGTGCCATTCACACAGACTGCATTTAAAAACATAAGAGACGCAGTGAAAAGGAATACACCTAAAAGTTTAAACTGTTTTAACTTTGCATGGCTACATCTCTTGTGTGAGACGCGAGTGCAGCAGTCATATTTGTCCGTCTAAAAAAATGTGTTCAGCATGTGTTCGTGTTTGTGTGTGCTGTCTGCGCCACTCACAGTACGTGCCTATATCGTGTGCTATATCTAACTATTTTTATATCGTTATCGAAGAAGGTGTACCGTCGATAAATATCGATACCGTTTTATCGCCCAGGCCTATCTAAAGCAGGGTAATTATAGTTCACGTAAACTAAAACCATCAAAAATTAATTACCTGAATATAAAACATAACAAAAACAACAATTTTATTTCAGCTAGTTGACAAGGCAACATTTATCATTTGCAGTAGTTTATCCTGATGTACTAAAATAAAATTAATAAACGCTATATGGACATTTAACAACAAAATCAAAAAAATTATGAAACGCAATAAAATGACTAAAAACTGAAATTAAAATGACTATAATAGTATCTTTGATGGACAAATGGAGAAATGTCTAATGTGAACAGCATTCAAACTTGTTCATGCGGGAAATTATTGGGTTCCTGAAATGATGAAAAGCTAATAATTAAATTATAAAATTGTTAAATTTAAATGCACTATTTTGGTAATAAATTATATTTTAACTGTAACTGAATGTGGGGTGTTACTCAAAGTTTTTCATCTGATATTTATATTTTCTTTTGTTTCAGCGTTATTTTATATATATATATATATATATATATATACACACACACACACACATATATATATAAATCATTTTAGCCTCAGTTAACATTGAAATATTAACTTAAAATCTGTATTTAAATATAAAATTATTGCATGTTAATGTATGTATATGCTAACTGCTTTGAACATTTAATATATATTCAGTGTAACTGTAAACAATTTAGTCATTTATTATAATTAATGAGTATAATGTAGTGCAGTATCAAAAAAATTTTTTCTCTTAATACTCTCTTGATAAATATCAGCATCTTTACAAATGTATCTTATCATATTTATGTGTGCTACACATATACTGTAATGATGTTGTAATAATTCCTGTCAGAAAATACAAATGACATCCTCGTTGTTAATTATTCAAAAAAGTTGTAAAATTTTTATTCACATGAAGAATATCCAAACTGACGGACTAGTAACCTCACAGTTGAATCACAGTAAATCATTTCCGCTAGCATGATCAGCGACACTGAATCTGAAGCGCCTTCATAATTTGCTTAATCTGCGACTCAGCAGGTCTTTAAACCCAGAAGCTGGATCGTCCAAGTTAAAGCCGACCTCAAACTCGGGCTTCTTTCCGAGGGCCAGCACAGCAACGGTTATGGCCAGAGCGGCGGTCAGACCCCAGATCTGATGGATGTTACCTGTGCTGGGGTCAGTGTACATGAAGCTGTGGGTCGGGCCGAAGACGCTGGGCACAGGATAGCCGGAGTGGTCCGCCGCTTTAGTGAAAAACTCCAGAGGAAGAGTGAACACCTCGCTCACCTCGTCTGTGTTTGGACGAGCTTCGAAGGAGTCCTCGATGAAAGCCACCACCGGAGTGATCAGAAGCCCAGCCTGAGGAAACCATTTCAGCCGTTACAACTGGCCAAAGCAGACCATTCATTAGCCACAAATTAATCAATAAAAAGCTTACTGCATCCTGGATCGCTAAATTCTTATTTAGTGGTTACGCGCATTTTACTAAAATGCTTATATATTTTTTTTCATTTCAAATAATTTAATTAAATATATTCAAGTAAAGTATACATTATAATCAATATATACTATAATAATTTATTAAAATGCAAGCAGACACCACCGAATAAGAATGTATTTAGTGAGCTATACAGTAGCATTAATAATGCACGTTTTAAATGTATAATAACGAAATGACAATAACGAATACTTTTCACTAAAAATTTGATAATGTTTTGTAAAGAAGTATTTTATGCTTACCAAGGCTGCATTTATTTGATCAAATATACAGTAGAAAACATTACAATTTCAATAACTACTATCTATACTAAGATATTTCAGCATAATTTCTCCAGTCTTCAGCGTCACATGATCTTCAGAAATCAGTCTAATATGCTGATTATTATCAATGTTGAAATCAGCTGTACTGCCTTATATTTTTGCAGAAACGGCATACTTGTCCCCCAGGAATGTTTGATGAATAGAACGTTCACAAGAACAGCATTTATTTATTTATTTTTAACAATTACAAATGACTTTTCTGTCCCTTTTTTTATCAATTTAATGCGTCTGCTCAATACAAGCTTTTTTTTTAAAAACTAATTGCAGTGACTCCAAATTTTTGAATGGTATTGTATATAACAATATTATTATTTTTTTTTATTAAAATACATCACGTAGGCACCAGAAATAAGCATGTATGTAGTGTTCTATATAATTAATATTTTAATTATAAATTATTTTATACGAGATCAATACATCCTTTATTAGACCGTTAAATGCATCCTTACGGAGGTGTCGAAATGCTGAATCAATTCATTCACTTCCAACAGCGCTTAATGGGAGCAGCGTCATAAGAGGGCAGAGTGTCACGTTATTTAAAGAGGACGTTACCGCGTTAACGAGTAGCAAATGATTAAGTAGCTGCATTGGTTACTTTTATGCCACTGATAAAGCTTTTATATGTAGTTTGGGGTAACAAAGGGGTTTTATAGGTTTGACTGAAATAATAATGCAATAACTGACACTTTAAATCAATGTTTCAAGAAACAACAACAGGCAAATTGACCAAAACACAGATAAAGACAAAAAAGTAGCCATTGATAATATCTAAACAATATGTAGCAAAATAGTATCCAAATCAAGATGTAATGAAATTAATGTATGTGTGATTTATGTGTAAATGATGTGCAATGTCTTAGCCACTAGGGATTGTTACATAGAGCTATACAGCATCTAGTGGCAACACAATGATATCACAGATACTAAATTGTGCAAAATGTTTATCTTAACAGTCAATTTACAAATAATGCATTCAGATTTGTGGAGCTCAATGCACTGAATCTCCACAAATTAGTCTCGTTACTATGACAACCAATTTGAATGTGACAAGCAACTGGTGTCTGAAAATAATTATATATATATATACTATATATAAGGGATTTCGCCTCGGGCGTCAAATTGGCTAGAAACGGCCCTGTACACAATGCATTATAAATGTCGATATAAATGTATATTATTATTATTATATTCAAAAGACCGCGTCAGCGGACCTTGTTGAGGACGGGGAAGAGTTTGCAGATGACCTGCACGGAGTCAGGAGGAAGGCCGATCTCCTCCTCTGCTTCTCTGAGAGCGGTGTGAACTTCATCT